ATGAACGAATATCGAATAATCAATTTTTAAATTTTTTTCGAACGAATGAATATCGAGTAATTGGTTTTCGAAAATTTTTCGAACGAATGAATATCGAATATTTGATTTTCAAAAATTCTTCGAATGAACGAATACTATTCGACTTTCGATTTTCATTTTATTCGAATTTGAATATTCGAATATTGGCACATTCCAAAAATCGAATGAACGAATACTTGAACAACCGAACTTGATCGAATATTCGACTAATTTCGAATAAATGTTCGAATATTATTCGAATATTTGGATGCAATATTCGAATATTCGAATATTCGAATAACTATCTTTCAAAACTACTCGAATGAATGAACATTCGAATAACCTTTATTTAAAACTCGTCGAATAAACGAATTATTCGAATATATTTCTCATTCATTCTTTCTCATTTATTCGACTATTCGAATAATCGAATAAATGGACTTTCTTAAATATTCGACTATTCGAATATTCGAAAAGTCGAATATTTCGAATAAATTATTCGAACACGAATATTCGGTGCTAACTATACACGATTTTCAAAAATTCATAACTTCTGATTTTCAACCGATTTGACTGCTTTCACATAAAAGTAAAAGCAGTCAAATCGGTTGGAAATATCCAAAGTTATGAATTTTTGAAAATCGTGCGCAAGAACTTTCGGGACGACCTATACAATGTGTTGGCTTTCATGGGTCACCGGAGCAAATGATTTTTAGAGCCGGGAAGCAAGGAAGCCCTAACATGCTGTATACCATTCGAAAGCTGAGATCATGGAGAATTGACGTGGGCCGTCGACTTTTTTCTAGGTCTTTTGTGCCGCGAGATATGAGGGATTTTATGTGTTTCAAAAATTAGCTGATTTTGTGTCCTCACTTTCTGCCCTCCAAATGAATGCTACGAGAAAGTCGACGGTCTACGTTTGTTAATGAAGACTTGCTCTTTAACACAGATAGATAATCTGCAGTGATTAGATCTTCATTTGGTAGAAATCTGCTGTTGAAAATGACCATGTTTTCAGATAAAATGCGGTGTATCTCTCGGTAGAGGGGGGCTAGAAAGAAGTCGACGGTCTAGGTCGAATCCTTTCCTGAGCTTTCGAATGGTATATAGGTTGCTGGGTGAAAGGACTAACCAGTTTTCAAAAATGGGGTGGAGATATTTACTATTAGCTTGCTCCACCCAGCTCCACCAATGTATTGGCTTTTATCTGTTACCGGAGCAAATGATTTTTAGAGCCGGGAAGCAAAGAAGCCCTAACATGCTGTATACCATTCGAAAGCTGAGATCATCAAGATTGACGTAGGCCGTCGACTTTTTTCTAGGTCTTCTGTGCCGCGAGATATGAGGGATTTTATATGCTTCAAAAATTAACTGCTTTTTTGTCCTCACATTCTGCTCTCCAAATGAACGGTACGAGGATAAATAAATAATATAAATAAACATAAATACCGTTTCTTTTGTAAATTTATGAGTGTACTTGTTGCTTGAGGTACTTAGTCTGCAAAACCTTTTAATGACGATTTTCATCATATTTTCAGAGTACAATACCAATCTCGGCCCAGGTGAAGGGGATCATCGGGAGTTTGGCCTCAAAGTGAAAGGGGTAAGATCCATCACTTCCCCTATCGCAACTATGCTCGGGTGGATAGGAGGCAAATCCAGTCTTTTTCACAGCTTTCTCGCATTTTGTTTGGGACCCACGCATATTTTAGAGGAGCTTTAGCACTAGCTTCTCTTTGAATTCGATTCCACATGGTTACTACATCTAAGACTTTTCTCGTAATTTTAATAGAAAGAAGGATTTGACGAACGCTCACGTCTACCTCCCAGTAGCTTCCAGTATGACAGAACGATGAAATGTTTGATTTTTAAACAAACGCCTGCTTTAGCAGTTTCGTTTAAATTTCTTCTCTAAAACAGACTTGCATCTGATCGCAGATAAATCTGCAACTCGCATTTTAGACCTGTAGATGAGGCATCGCAATATCTCAGCGACTTGAGGGAAGCCAGGAAACGCAGACCTTCAGGTATAACTACACAGATTTGGAATTCTATTCTCACAATTTCGGTTCCAGC